TCAAAGTTATTAGACGATGCACTATGAAAACTCACAGAACCTTTGACCGACTAAGACCAAGTCACGGAGATTTACAGAAGAATGTCGTACTCACCGAAGGCATAGAACACTACACCTTTCAACTCTGTTCCCTCAGTGAACACTTCAATAACAGCCACATCAAACTAAACCTTAGGAGTTCACGTATTGTCCCGCATCAGTCCCCGAGTTTGACCCTTCAGCGGATTTTCAAAATGGTCGTACTAGAGAACCGTGGAATTTTGCCAACTGCACAATACTCCTTTCGTATTGGAAATCAAAAAGATGAGTCTACCGAACCGTATATAATATAGTCGCTGTCTCCTCAGCGCTGTGACGTTATTGGCTGTGCCCATTTAGTCCTTATTCCTCGATGTGTTTCTTTTGCGCAACATTAATAAGAATCTATAGATTTTTTGGTAAGCTAACAGACTCATTCGCGTTTCTAAGTTATTCGTTTGCTAAACATACATGGTTATTGTCAAAACGTTACAGTTATTGTTAAAAGTGAAGGGTCTTATGGCAGTATCATTTAGGAAAATGATGAATAATAGAACCTGTATTTTCATCTGTTTATTTTATTTATTTACTTTAGGTTTAAGTTGCTGCTTTTACGAAAGATACTAAGCTAGAAGCTTTCATAGTTTTTGGATGCATATGGGATGTACCTTTGAGTAGGTGTCCTTAGTGTCCTTCTTCCTCACCTCGGCCTTAAATGAAATAAAAAACTGATGCAAAATGTACGAATGAAGAGTGACTATGTCACTTTATCTGAACCTTATTTTGAAAAACTAGACCGGAGCCGATAGACTACGAAGATTGATTCACCAGACTTGCTTGACTGTTGCAATATAATGTGGTGAAATTGACAACTTTATTTTTCTAGCTAGATAGCTTGACAATTGTCGGTCATGTGCAGTCTTGAATCGCCTATGGTGTTCTACACCTAGAAGACTCTCAGATATTATTTTGGCTTTCGCTAGAATTAAACCAAGAAACAGGGAGGATAATTTGACGATTTGTTCAACTCTTACGTCTTTCGTCCCAGTTGATTTTTCTTCTTTTGAAATGAAGAAATGAAATTTTTTTGTACGACAGCTGATGAGTAAGATCCATGCGTATTCACAGTCTATGAATGTGCTTTGAGTTGCATGAGAGTTGGCGATGGTTGCGGGCTCTTACCGGTGTAAGTGTAGGTTGTTACTTCTAAGTCACCAGGATCTGCAACTTCTTTGCAACCTCTTCTGAATTTCCTTCCCGCTGTTGTTTGCTACTGACAGCTCTCTTTCTCTGACAGGATGGGAACTCATAAATTTACATTTTTTGCACTTGTATGTGAACATTTTGTAGATGCTTTTTCTATTTTCTTCTTAAATAATTAATATTCTTTTTTTTTCAGGTAATCAAAATTTGCGAAATTCGTACTTAATCTCATAATAGGATTTTTAAAGGTTTATTGCAATTATTTTTTTCTCCATTATACGTACTTATATGTATTGAGCTTTGCGTCAGGCGTGTTATATGTTACTACTTCTAACAATGTTTGCATAAAGCCATAAGGTTGGTACAAACAATTATAATTGTTGATTTTTTTTTACTTTTGGTTGACTTTATAGGCATATGTGTTTTGGTGCTGCTCTTAGATTTTGAATACGCTTATAGGGTTGGAAGTACAGAAGTACAGTTTGCCGACCGAGTCCCATATACTCGACATAACTTATTTATTCTTGGTTCGTCATCTCATTCGAGTTTTCTTTATGGCACGGAAAATGGAAGTTCAGACTTACTTTTCACATTCAGAACGGATGTTCCCACATCTTGAGGATGGAAAAATACCAACAGGACAATTCTTGCAGGCTTGTCAGGGTATCGCAGACTTTGTTGGTAAGGAGTTCATTATTTTCAAAATATCGCTTGTTAAACTATTGACCGGTGATGAAAGTTCTGCTTAATAGTGAAATAAAGATATGTGCTATATGCCTGTAGGTTCAATTTCGTAATCTTCAGAAGGCTCATTGAAAAAAGTTCTCAAGACGCAAGTTTTAAGAAGAACAGACCTAAAATACGGAAAGAAAAGGACAAACGTGTTCTTTTTTTTGTGACTGCAGTTTTAAAGTTTTGCACTTCCGATGAAATTTGCTGGAAGCAAGGATTGAAGATTTAAGATTGGTCGTTAGTTTTAAGCTCTTCAGAAGTTTTTTAATGTGCTGTTTTTGAAATATTGTTAGCAGAATGCAAACGACATACAGCCATTTATAGCATATGCTGACTAAACGCTGTGTGAAGCAAATTTGTTATATCTGCAAAGATTCTAAAACATTTTGTCATATGTCTTAAAGACCTACTAAAGAGTCTTTCCAGGCTTTCTTGGTACTCCGTTTATTCCAGTAAAAAATGATATTAGTGGGAATGTTGCTAAGGTTAGGGGTAAGTATGATAAAGGCAGAGAAAAATTCAAATATATCGAGGACTTGATTGATGATGACGTTGGAAGTTCTGGAGGTCTGGGTTATGCAACTGAAGGACTTCTTTGGCTGAAAAGGTTTTTGGATTTTTGCTGAACTATAAGTAAATTCCAAGTTCCCTGTATGAAATAGTTGTATCTTCACTGTTTTTGAACTAATGTAGTTGTGTTAAGTTTTAGTGGAAATTACAGTCTGCTGTGAACGAGCACCTTACCAAATCTTCCGCGCTTAACTGATTGCTTCTTTCATTCTTAACATTCCAGGGGTCTGGAATTTATGTTAGAGTTGTTGACTCTCATGGTTCAGGAGTACCGATCAACTGTTGATAAGCAAAAAACCGAAAGTTTAGTTGGAATTATCGATGCTGCTTACAACGCAACCTTGAAAAGACACCATGGATTTATTTCCAAACAGTTGTTCAAGGTTAGCTTATGTTTATTTCTCAGTATAATAAGGTTTTGAAGTCGACGTTATTATAAATGAGCCACTAAATACCAAATCAATCACTTTCCAAACCTTCCCCAAGTTTTATTCAATCGCTGAGTAGAAGGCTTTGCGCTCTGGTACGCAAGTTTGGGAAAGGTTGCTGCTCTACCTTCTCTTATTTTAAATTAACCCTCCCTTCCTCCCCACTGCTTTGAAAAGAATTAGTAAAATCGCATTTTTTGGCTGGATTTGACTGAATCTGAAAGTTTTTAACTTGCTTCACCTTTCACAGAACTAAATATTGTAATATCTTTGCTCTGTACTTTCTGAAAGTTTCTGAAGTATAAATTTTCCGTCATTGGTTGCAAAATGATGAAAATTCATCGCTTTAGCACAGGCTGAGGTAAATGCCGGACTACCGATTTTTTCTTTTAAAAGAGATATCTTGTTTAGGGCCTCTTTTTTCCGCAAGAATTCATGCAGAGCCTGAAATTGAATATCTGTGGGTAGGCAAGTTAGAGAAGAAACGGTTAGGTGAGGTTTTCGGATTTGCATTCTTGAGCAAAATTTCTACATCTACGACAATGGGAAATAAGGTTGCTACGATTGGGAAAGGTTGGTTTTGGAGGTTATCAGACGTGGTAAACCAAATGAATGCGGTACTGGCAAGACAAAATATTTCAGTTGAATTCTACGACTTCTCTTTATTTTTTTTTATAAAACACCTGCCTGCTAATGCTTCATTTTGGGATGTATTAAATTTGGAAGTGAAATTGCAAGAATGCCCGTTGTTTTCTAGTTCATGTAAAAATGGAATTCTTTAATATTTTTTTATTTTATGGGGGCAAATCAAATGTTCAAAAAATTTTAAGAAGAAAAGGATGTGTTATTTTAAAAGGGCTTTTGAAGTATTTAAAAAAGATAGGATTAAAACAAATTACAGTATTGTAAGGTAGGTCTTTTTTGGCCAAAGGATGCAACTTTTCCAACTTTCAAAGAGTACTAATTTTTACTGAATGGTGGTAGGGGGAAAATCTCTTCAGCATTGCATATTAGAACGCAAACTACAGTTCGGCAGAA